GTTTTAGGTTATCAGTCCCTCAGCCTGGAGTCGATGTGTTCAGTCCATCAGTCTTAAGAAAAGTAAAGCATATATGCGGAGAAGTGGCTTATATACCGTAGACAGGTGAATTGAAGCAGCAGGAGGCGGAGTCACCAGTGGAAAAATCCACTAGTGTAAGTAATTCATGCCTATAGGTTAGGCAAGCGTTGAAGAATTCCCTGTATCAATTATTATTATTATTATTATAATCAAAAAGAAGCGCTAAACCACAAGGGCTATACAGCTCCCTGTATCAAGATCCCAAGACACTGCAGTGTCTGACACAGCACAATCCCACCTGTGTGTGTGTGTGTGTCAGCTCGCATGATCACGGTATATAGACTCCTAATATGGTCTACAGGTTCGGGCTTTTTCCGCCTTGAAAACATTCACGGAATTTCAATTAAATGTTTAGCACTTCAGCCTTGCCCTCTGCCCTGCTTACCTCCCCGCAACCCAGTACCTATCCTCTCTACCACTCCTCCTTGCCCTCCTTCTCCCCTTGACCCTGCCCTTTCCGTCTATATATCCTTGTTCCTCCCTCTCTTCTACTCCCCCTCCTTCGGTCAGCAGGGGCAGCAGGTGTTTGGAGACGCCCATAATACCCGACTCAACTCAGGTCCTTCGCTTGTGAGCCGAAGACACGACCATTGCCTCTCCTTTTCTTCTCCTTTTTCCTCGCTTCCTTCTTTCCATTGCTTCCTTCTCGGATTGCTTCTTTCTTTTTTTTCATGTTCACGCTTCTTTCTCTTATTCCTTCAGTTCTTCCTCTTATTCCCTCAATTCTTTATTTTGGTCTTCTCTTTCTCACATTTTCACTTTGGATCTTTTTAATCTGATTTTTCTGTACTTTCTTCTCTGGCTTCCACATTACCTTTAATTGTTACCATTTTATTATTTTTAAGTTCTATGCCCTTGCCCCACCACCAGCCCTCCTCTATCCCTCCTGGTAACACCTCCTCCCTTCTCTCTCTCTCTCTCTCTCTCTCTCCTCTCTCTCTCTCTCTCTCTCTCTCTCTCTCTCTCTCTCTCCCCTCTCTCTCTCTCTCCCCTCTCCCCCCAACAAATGATATTATAAGATTAGAAAAACTTTCTTTCCTTTAGTAAGGGATTCTGCAGACCGTCCACCTGGGAATTACGACCTGCTACGAAATGCGTACACGGAACATGGGAACACATATACACCCAACGTCCAAACACTCGCACAAAACTTGTAAACACATACATAAGAACATTCGCACACGCACACGCAAAAACCTGAAAATAAGTACATGGAAATATATATTATATATAATAATATAAAAACAGTGTCCACAGCTTTGCGAACAATACCGAGATAAGCATAAAAGTCGCCTCATGAAGAAGAAGACGAAGAAGAAGAGGATATGGAAAACTCACAATCAGATCCCGCCAGCGGGATATTTATCTGTAAAATCTTACATCTGTGGTCATAGTGGTGGCCCATGCTAACCTCACTATGGTGTATAAATATACCTAGTTAGATGACTCTCACTGTAGCCAGTTGGCCCAGTGGCTTACGCTCTGGTCTGGAGTTTTACGACTCACTCGTCATAGGTTTAACCCCCACCTGTACCCTGGTTTGTTTACTGTCGTGTTATTACGAGATCGTGAGTCACACTCAGATATCAGCACGGGTCATCCGACGGACAGAGGAGAAACATTGTGAACATCACTGCCCACAAATTTCAGTGGGTGCACATGCGGGATGAATGAAGACTTCGAAAATGAGAGCTGAATGCAGGAGGCAGAGAGATCATCTCTTAGAATATAAGAAACAGGTCATCATTTATGATGTCAGTTGATATGTAGGTCGCAGTGGAACACTAGCAGTAACAGCCTAGTTGAACATGCACTCAACAAGGAAGCTTGGCCGAAGGTCACTCTAGTGGGTTTTGCACTTAGTTATGATTGTAATAATAATTGTAATAATAATAATAATATATATGTCGTGCCGAATAGGTAAAACTTGCTACTTTGGCTTAAATAGCAACGCTCTTCTTGCCAAATAAGGCAAGCGAAAATTTGTGTATGCAATAATTTCGCAAAAATCATTCTGAACCTAACGAAAAAAAATCATCGTGTTTGTTTATTATTAAATTATTGTAAACTTATCTAAAATATATTTTGTTGGATTAGGCTAAATTAAATTGCGCTTGTTATAACAAGGTTAAGTAAGTTTTCTAAGGTTCTTTTGGTACAAAATTATTAATTTTTACGTTAACATAAATGAAAAAAATATATCTTTAAACGCACAAGAGAAAATTTTAGAAAGGACTTAATTTTAAATAAGTCCCTGCTAATAATTGACCAATTTTACCTATTCGGCACGACATATATATATAATATATATATAATATATATTTTATATTATATAATATATATATATATATATATATATATATATATATATATATATATAATATATATATTTACTTTTGGTAATTTATGCATAAAGGGTTACTAGCCCCTCTTACTCCCTGGATTTTAATCGGTTTTACAACACACATGGCTTACAGAGGAAAGATTCTTTTCCACTTCCACTTTGAGATGAAAGGAAAAAAAATAAGAACAAGAACTATAAAGAAAATAGAAGAATACTCAGACTGGCGTTTATACATATGTGTACATGCCTGTGTAGTGTAACCTAGATGTAAATAGAAGTATCAAGAGAGAGAGAGAGAAGATGCATTTATATACAGCGACATCCACGAGCATAACATTGCTCTTGTTCCCCACAAATGAGGTGGAGGTGACTTGATGCTGGTGAAGGGCTCTTAATCCAAGGATTTGAATCTACCTTCCCCTTCCTTGGATCAAACTTCATTCCATTCCATTCCCCATTCGCTGCATGATTCCTGCAAGTTCAATCAGTACTTCCTCGTGAATACAACATTCTGCTCCAGTAGCTGTCAGTAGGTTAATACATGCTGGCAAATATAAATTGGTAAATATTTTTTGTTAAATATAAAGAGGTAAGTGCAGATACGTATAAATAGGTAACTAGAAAATAGGTCAAATTATTGACGCACTTTGGAGTTAAGCCTTGTTTGACTGTCTTAAGAATGACGGTTCATAGACAGGTATTTTGTACACACATGAGCTGTAACTCTGGTAGTAATGTCTGAGGATCTCACTTTCAAGGATCACAACAGCGCCACGATTGCAAGTGCAAAGAAAATGATAGGGTGGATAATGAGAACGTTCAAAACGAGAGATGTCAAGCCAATGATGATCCTTTTCAAATCACTTGTTCTCTTTAGGCTGGAATACTGCTGTACATTAACATCTCCATTCAAAGCAGGTGAAATCACAGATCTAGAGAAGTGTACAGAGATCCTTTACTGCACGTATAAGTTCTGTCAAGCACCTTAACTACTGGGAACGCTTGGAAGCACTTGACTTGTACTCGTTGGAACGCAGGAGGGAGAGATATATCATAATCTACACTTGGAAAATCTTGGAAGGAATGGTCCCAAATCTGCACACAGAAATCACTCCCTACGAAAGTAAAAGACTGGGCAAGTTATGCAAAATGCCCCCAGTTAAAAGTAGGGGCGCCATTGGTACACTAAGGGAAAACATCACAAGTGTCCAGGGCCCAAGACTGTTCAATAGCCTTCCATCAAGCATTAGGGGAATTGCCAATAAGCCCCTGGCTGCCTTCAAGAGAGAGCTGGACAGATACCTAAAGTCAGTGCCGGATCAGCCGGGCTGTGGCTCGTACGTTGGACTGCGTGCGGCCAGCAGTAACAGCCTAGTTGATCAGGCCCTGATCCACCGGGAGGCCTGGTCATGGACCGGGCCGCAGGGGCGTTGATCCCCGGAATGACCTCCAGGTATCCAGATAACTCAACCCCTGCAACCACATATAGGTGAGTACACACCCACGGCCAAAATAATTTCGGTGTCTTCGGCGAGGTGTAAAACTAATTAAGAGAATAGTTTGGTGGTTTACCCAAGATAAGGATTGTCGTGGTTTGTATGAAGCTAGGTGTAGTGGTTTATGTGAGGGTCAGGCGTAGTGGTGTTTGAAAAATCTGCTTTAAAGATGATGATGTGTAACGGATGGGTAGGGGAACGTTGAGACTTTGTAAGAGAGAGAGAGAGAGAGAGAGAGAGAAAGTCAGTCTCTCCCGAAGCTAGTTTCCCACACGGGTAGTATTGCCTTACACCACCTGTTTTATCAACCACTGCTGTACACACCACCTACCCCCATCCACATCACTTACCTACCACCACTCACCACCATCCACATGGTGGCCCGGTGGCCTGGTGGTTAAAGCCGCCGATTCACACATGGAGGGCCCGGGTTCGATTCCCGGCGGGTGGAAGCATTTCGACACGTTTCCTTACAAACCTGTTGTCCTGTTCACCTAGCAGCAAATAGATACCTGGGTGTTAGTCTACTGGTGTGGGTCGCATCCTGGGGGACAAGATTGAGGACCACTATGGAAATAAGTTAGACAGTCCTCGATGAAGCACTGACTTTCTTGGGTTATCCTGGGTGGCTAACCCTTCGGGATTAAAAATTCGAACGAAATCTTATCTTATCACATCACCTACTACCATTCATCTAAACCATTCACACCACCTGGCATCTACCACTATCAGCTAGGCTTTAATAAGATTTTACAAGGGGTCCCAATAGAAATAAATCACTTTGACTTTTTTGGGGGTTATCCTTGTTAATTTACACATATGTTAAACTATGTATGATATTTGTACTTATGTGTACCTGTACTTAAATGAACTTACTAATCCATACCAGCTAACGTTTATCCACATCTACCTCCATCCACACCATCTACCTCCATCCACACCATCTACCTCCATCCACACCATCTACCTCCATCTACCACGACCTGTATCAACTCGCCCACGGTGAAAACGACCCTGTGAGGCAAAACGTATAGGTTAAACAGGCTATATAAATTAACGTTGTTGTTGGTGTGCCGCAGAATGCTCAGGACTTCATCGGGTTTGCCACGCTGCCTGAGCAGGTGCACAGGAAGAGCGTGAAGAGAGGGTTCGACTTCACGCTCATGGTGGTGGGCGAGTCTGGCCTCGGCAAGTCTACACTCATCAACAGTCTCTTCCTCACCGACCTCTACAAGGAGAGAAAAGTGCCCACCGGAGAGTGTGAGTTTTCGTGGTGCTTTAGTCAAGCAGCTTCTTTGTACTTTTCCGTCACTACAGTTATTCACGTTCCTCTGTTCGGTACAGTGTTATCGAGGTAGTTCTACTGCACTTAATGTTACTGAAGTTGTTCTATTGTACTTACTGTTATTGATATTGAAGCAGTTCTTTAATGTTATTGTTATTCAGATAGCTCTACTAAACTGCATGTCACTGCTGTTCAAGCAGTTCCTCAGCACTTCACGTTATTATAGTTAAATAAAATGATAAATTCTTAAGTGTCATCAGTACGCAGTATTACAGTAGCAATAGGTATTATATATATTCTGATAAGTATACACTGAATCACAAAGTATGTGCACTTGGAAGGATGTGTATATCAGAATGTATATACTAGTTTGCTTTAATTTATAAATTAGAGATTAAAATATCCTTCCTGGCTGTGTACATGTAACACTCTTTAATAACCCTTCGTGTAGTCGATAGGCTTTGTAAAATAAACCAGACAAATATTGATAATTCGATTTGTAATTTTTGAAGATCTAGTGATGTGACATTAGTTTTAGCTTAGGCATTGCCCAGTGTCACCGTGTGTAGACAGGCATGTTAATACATTACCACATAAAGTAGAATTTTTTTGCAGAAAATATTTCTATTTTCAAGTTGTCTGAAGCTGGAGAAGCCTAGTATAGATTGGGTTGAGTGACGCCAAAGAGGTAAAAACATTTACCGTCACTCATTCAATATCTGTCATGCCAGGAATTCACTCGCATAACTTCTTAAGTGCCCTAAAATAGAATAAAGATTGTGTACCCAATGTTGTGTTTCAGGTAAGATATTCAGCTTTGCACTAACATGGGAAGGTAAGTTACTCGTGTTGATGGCAGTAGTCTGGCCAAACCTGCTTTTTTGGCTAATGAATATTGGATATGTAGTGAACCTTAGACTGGTTAGTGTGATCACCAACCTTGCAGGAACCAGTTACGACCATCCTGCAGTGACGAGCCTCCACACACTGGAAATATACTTTACTTTTTATGTAATTGAGACGAGGCGACTGACCATAACCTGAATGGCATCAAAATCAAGAATTATTATTACAATATTCATGGGTTTGTTCCTAGGAACAGAAGGGTATCTGCAGTTCCTTGCATCAAGATCCCTTCACCGGCATCAAGGCAACTCTGGCGCCTTTCCTCTTAAAGGAAAAGGCACGAGAAGAATCATCGTCTCTTTAAGAAAATCATTGATGAATTCTACTTTTGCATACTGTGTAACTCCTCATTTTCATTTTTCATTCTTACTTTTTTGGTACCTCTCTTCCTCTTATCCAGCTCTTTTTATTCTATTCTTGATTCTTTCAGCTTTTGTCATTTTTTACGTTATTAATTTCGGCTTTTCATTCTACCTTGTAACATACACCATCTGATGAAGTCTTTCTGCAAGGCCCACTAGCTTAAGTAGTTTTCAGAGGTCTTGATATACTCATTATGACTAAGAAAGTTTTTTGTATACTTAGACTATCTCAAGATGTTTCCTACGTGTACTAACATACTTGCAATAGTTAAAACACACACACACACACACACACACACACACACACACACACACACACACACACTCGGGGCCAGGAGCTGAGTCTCGACCCCTGCAACCACAATTAGGTGAGTACATACACACACTTACTACAACCCACTCACTGTTCCCTCTGCCGCCAACACCTATATCACAAACCCCACCCCAACAGCTGACCCTTATGGGCATTCTGACCCCACCCCCATTATCACAAACCCCACAGCCTCCCATAGGCCCCCACCAAGGCTCTCGCTCCCTCAACCCCAGTATTCTTGCAGGACCACAATGATAGAAAAGAAACTGAAAGTTTGGTACACAAACGCGGATGGAATAACGAATAAACATGAGGAGTGGAACGAAAGAATCAGTGAGGAATCCCCAGACATCATAGCAGTCACAGAAACAAAACTCGATGAGACAATAAAAGACACAATCTTCCCAACGGGATATCAGATCCTGGGGAAAGATAGAAGGAGTAGAGGGGGAGGAGGGGTTGCACTGTTCATAAAACACCGATGGGGATTTGAGGAAATGGAAGGCATGGACATGATTGGAGAAAGAGACTACATTGTAGGTACAATTCAGTCCGGAGAACATAAAGCAGTCATTGGAGTGATGTATAACCCACCACAGAACTGCAGGAGGCCAAGAGAGGAGTACGAAGAAAACAACAGGGTGATGGTGGACACACTGGCTGAGGTGGCAAGAAGAGCTCACTCCAGCAGAGCAAAGTTACTGGTAATGGGCTATTTCAACCACAGGGAGATCGACTGGGAAAACCTGGAGACACATGGGGGTCCCGAAACATGGAGAGCCAAGATGATGGATGTGGTACTTGAAAACCTCATGCATCAACATGTCAGGGACACTACCAGAGAGAGAGGGGAGGATGAGCCAGCAAGACTGGATCTTGTCTTCACCCTGAGCAGTTCAGACATTGAGGACATCATTTACGAGAGGCCCCTTGGATCTAGCGATCACGTGGTTCTGAGTTTTGATTATATAGTAGAGTTACAAGTGGAGAAGGTAACAGGAATTGAAGGGGACAGGCCAAACTATAAAAGGGGGGACTACACAGGTATGAGAAACTTTCTGCAGGAGGTTCAGTGGGACAGAGAAATGGTAGGAAAATCAGTAAACGAGATGATGGAATATGTGGCAACAAAGTGCAAGGAGGCAGAGGAAAGGTTTGTTCCCAAGGGAAACAGAAATAATCGGAAGACCAAAACGAGTCCTTGGTTTACCCGAAGGTGTAGGGAGGCAAAAACTAAGTGCAACAGAGAATGGGAAAGGTACAGGAGGCATAGGACTTAGGAAAACAAGGAGATTAGTAGAAGAGCCAGAAATGAGTATGCACAGATGAGGAGGGAGGCCCAGCGACAGTATGAAATCGACATAGCATCGAAAGTCAAATCTGACCCGAAACTGCTGTATAGCCACATTAGGAAGAAAACAACAGTCAAGGACCAGGTGATAAGGCTGAGGAAAGAAGGTGGAGAACTCACAAGAAACGATCAAGAGGTATGTGAGGAGCTCAACATGAGATTTAAGGAAGTATTTACAGTGGAGACAGGAAGGCCTCTGGGGGGACAGACCAGATGGGGACACCAGCAAGGAATACACCAACAAGTGTTGGACGACATACATACAGATGAGGAGGAGGTGAAGAAACTGCTAAGGGACATAGAGACCTCAAAGGCAATGGGACCGGACAACATCTCCCCGTGGATCCTTAGAGAGGGAGCAGATATGCTGTGCGTGCCACTTACCACAATCTTCAACACGTCCCTGGAAACTGGGCAACTACCTGAGGTATGGAAGATGGCAAATGTAGTTCCCATTTAAAAAAAAGGAGACAGAAAAGAGGCACTAAACTATAGACCTGTGTCATTGACGTGTATAGTATGCAATGTTATGGAGAAGATTATCAGGAGGAGAGTGGTGGAGCACCTGGAGCGGAACAAGAGTATAAATGCCAACCAGCACAGATTCATGGAAGGAAAATCCTGTGTCACAAACCTTCTGGAGTTTTATGATAAAGTAACAGAAGTAAGACACGAGAGAGAGGGGTGGGTTGATTGCATCTTCTTGGACTGCAAGAAGGCCTTTGACACAGTTCCTCACAAGAGATTAGTGCAGAAGCTAGAGGATCAGGCGCATATAACAGGAAGGGCACTGCAATGGATCAGAGAATACCTGACAGGGAGGCAACAACGAGTCATGGTACGTAACGATGTATCACAGTGGGCACCTGTGACGAGCGGGGTCCCACAGGGGTCGGTCCTAGGACCAGTGCTATTTTTGGTATATGTGAACGACATGATGGAAGGATTAGACTCAGAAGTGTCCCTGTTTGCAGATGATGTGAAGTTAATGAGGAGAATTAAATCAGATGAGGACCAGGCAGGACTTCAAAGAGACCTGGACAGACTTGACACCTGGTCCAGCAAATGGCTTCTCGAATTTAATCCCGCCAAATGCAAAGTCATGAAGATAGGGGAAGGGCACAGAAGACCACAGACAGAGTATAGGCTAGGTGGCCAAAGACTGCAAACCTCACTCAAGGAGAGATATCTTGGGGTGAGTGTAACACCGAGCATGTCTCTGGAAGCACACATCAACCAGATAACTGCTGCAGCATATGGGCGCCTGGCAAACCTGAGAACAGCGTTCCGATACCTTAGTAAGGAATCGTTCAAGACACTGTACACCGTGTATGTCAGGCCCATACTGGAGTATGCAGCACCTGTTTGGAACCCGTACTTGATAAAGCACGTCAAGAAACTAGAGAAAGTACAAAGGTTTGCGACAAGGTTAGTCCCAGAGCTAAGGGGAATGTCCTATGAAGAAAGGTTAAGGGAAATCGGCCTGACGACGCTGGAGGACATGAAGGTCAGGGGAGACATGATAACGACATATAAAATATTGCGCGGAATAGACAAGGTGGACAAAGACAGGATGTTCCAGGGAGGGGACACAGAAACAAGAGGCCACAATTGGAAGTTGAAGACACAAATGAGTCAGAGAGATATTAGGAAGTATTTCTTCAGTCATAGAGTAGTCAAGCCGTGGAATAGCCTAGAAAGTGAAGTAGTGGAGGCGGGAACCATACATAGTTTTAAGGCGAGGTATGATAAAGCTCATGGAGCAGGGAGAGAGAGGACCTAGTAGCAATCAGTGAAGAGGCGGGGCCAGGAGCTATGATTCGACCCCTGCAACCACAAATAGGTGAGTACACACACACACACACACGCGACCCCTGCAACCACAAATAGGTGAGTACACATACACACACACTCACACACACACACACACACACACACACACACACACACACACACACACACACACACACACACACACACACACACACACACACACACACACACACACTTGTCAGGAAGACAGAAGCGAGTCATAGTACGTGGCGACTTGTCAGAGTGGACGCCTGTGACCAGCGGGGTCCCACATGGCTCAGTCCTAGGACCAGTGCTGTTTCTGGTATTTGTGAACGATATGACGGAAGGAATAGACTCCGAAGTGTCCCTGTTTGCAGATGACGTGAGGTTGATGAGAAGAATTCATTCGATCGAAGACCAGGCAGAACTACAATGGGATCTGGACAGGCTGCAGACCTGGTACACCAATTGGCTCCTGGAGTTCAACCCCACCAAGTGCAAAGTCATGAAGATTGAGGAAGGGCAAAGAAGACCGCAGACGGAGTACAGTCTAGGGGGCCAGAGACTACAAACCTCGCTCAAGGAAAAAGATCTTGGGGTGAGTATAACACCAGGCACATCTCCTGAAGCGCACATCAACCAAATAACTGCTGCAGCATATGGGCGCCTGGCAAACCTCAGAACAGCATTCCGACATCTTAATAAGGAATCGTTCAGGACCCTGTACACCGTATACGTTAGGCCCATATTGGAGTATGCGGCACCAGTTTGGAACCCACACCTATACACAAATAACCCGCACATAAAAGAGAGAAGCTTACGACGACGTTTCGGTCCGACTTGGACCATTGACTGGTGACTTTGTCAATGGTCCAAGTCGGACCGAAACGTCGTCGTAAGCTTCTCTCTTTTATGTGCGGGTTATTTGTGTATCGTTCCAGTCACGGTATTGTGCCTTTTTGTTATTTATCCCACACCTAGATAGGCACGTAAGGAAACTAGAGAAAGTGCAAAGGTTTGCAACACGAATAGTCCCGGATCTTAGGGATATGTCCTACGAGGAGAGGTTAAGGGAATCGAACTGACGACACTGGAGGACAGGAGAGATAGGGGGGACATGATAACGACATATAAAATACTGAGAGGAATCGACAAGATGGATAGAGACAGAATGTTCAAGAGATAGGACACAGCAACAAGGGGACACAATTGGAAGTTGAAGACTCAGATGAATCACAGGGATGTTACCTGGAGTTTACCTGGAGAGAGTTTCGGGGGTCAATGCCCCCGCGGCCCGGTCTGTGACCAGGCCTCCTGGTGGATCAGCGCCTGATCAACCAGGCTGTTGCTGCTGGCTGCACGCAAACCAACGTACGAGCCACAGCCCGGCTGATCAGGAACTGACTTTAGGTGCTTGTCCAGTGCCAGCTTGAAGACTGCCAGGGGTCTGTTGGTAATCCCCCTTATGTGTGCTGGGAGGCAGTTGAACAGTCTCGGGCCCCTGACACTTATTGTATGGTCTCTTAACGTGCTAGTGAAAACCCCTGCTTTTCATTGGGGGGATGGTGCATCGTCTGCCAAGTCTTTTGCTTTCGTAGTGAGTGATTTTCGTGTGCAAGTTCGGTACTAGTCCCTCTAGGATTTTCCAGGTGTATATAATCATGTATCTCTCCCTCCTGCGTTCCAGGGAATACAGGTTTAGAAACCTCAAGCGCTCCCAGTAATTGAGGTGTTTTATCTCCGTTATGCGCGCCGTGAAAGTTCTCTGTACATTTTCTAGGTCGGCAATTTCACCTGCCTTGAAAGGTGCTGTTAGAGTGCAGCAATATTCCAGCCTAGATAGAACAAGTGACCTGAAGTATTTCTTCAGTCACAAAGTTGTCAGGAAGTGGAATAGTTTGGGAAGCAATGTCGTGGAGGCAGGATCCATACATAGTTTTAAGAAAAGGTATGATAAAGCTCATGGAGCAGGAAAAGTGACCCAGTAGCGACCAGTGAAGAGGCGGGGCTAGGAGCTGTGACTCGGCCCTTGCAACCAAAACTAGGCGAGTACAATGTTTAGAATTCAGATGGATGAGGATCAGGTAGGACTACAAAGGGATTTGGACAGGCTGCAAGCCTGGTGCAGCAACGGGCTCCTAGAGTTTAACCCCACCAAGTGCAAAGCCATAAAGATTAGGAAAGGTCAAAGAAGACCGTACACGGAGTACAGGCTAGGGGGCCAAAGGCTTCAAACCTTACTCAAGGAAAAGGATCTTGGGGTATCATACTGAGAATATTTTCTGAGGCACACATTAACCAAATAACTGCTACAGCATATGGGCACCTGGCAAACCTCAGAATAGTGTTTCAGCACCTAAGGAGTCATTCAAGACACGGTACACTGTGTATGTCAGCCCCATATTGGAATATGCAGCACCAGTATGGAACACACACTTGGTCAAACACGTCAAGAAATTAGAGAAGTGCAAAGATTTGCAACAAGACTATTATTATTATTATTATTATTATTATTATTATTATTATAACCATGGGGAAGCGCTAAACCCGTAGGATTATACAGCACCTGTGGGGGAGGGGATGGAAGGCATTCAGGCTCAATTCAGGGAACATGAACACAGATCCAATTCCTAGATCAAAGCCCCCCCTTTTTTAAGGGGGGGGGGGCCCCTTTCCCCCTTAAAAAAAAACCCAAAACCCCCCCCCCAAAAAAAAAAAACCCCCCCCCAAAAAAAAACCCCCTTTTTTAAAAAAAAAAACCCCCCCTTTTAAACCCCCCGGTTAAAAAAACCCCAAATTTTTCCCCGTCCCCCGGGGAAAAAAAAAACCAAACCCCAAAAAAATTTTGGAGGGGAAAACCAGTTTTTAAAAAAATTTTTAAACCCCCCCCCCAAAAGGGGCCCCCCCCCAAAAAGGGGGGTTTAAAAAACCCAAAAAGGGGGGGGAAAAAAAAAAAAAAAAAAAAGGGGGGGGGGGGAAAAGGGAAAAACCAAAAAAAAAAATTTTTAAAAAAAGGAAAAAAAAAAAACCCCAACCCCCCCCAAAAAAAAAAACCCCCCCCGGGGGGTTTTAAAAAAATTTTTAAAAGGGGAAAAAAAATTTTGGGGGAAGAAAAAAAGCCCCCAAAAATTTAAAAAATTTGGCAAAAGGGCCCGGAAAATTTTCCCCCCCTTTCCCCCAAATTTTGGGGGGAAAAAAAAAAACCCCCAGAAAAGGGCCCCCCCCAAAAAAAAACCCCCCAAAAAAACCCAAAAACCCCCCCCCCCCCCTCCCCCCTTTTTTTAATTAACCCAAATTTTTTTTTTAAAAATTGCCCGGGGGGTTTTAAAAAGGAAAAAAAACCCCCAAAATTTTAAAAATTTTTTTTTTAAAATTAAAATACCCTTTTGGGGGGGGGGGGGGGGGGGGGGGGGGGGGGGGGGGGGGGGTTTTTTAAAAAAAAAAAAAAAAATTTTTTTTTTTTAAAAAAAAAAAAATTTTTTTGGAAAGGGGGGGTTTTTTTTGAAAAAAAAAAAAGGGGTTTTTAAAAAGGGGGGGGGGAAAAGGGGGAGGGGGGGAAAAAGGGAAAAAAAAAAAAAGGGGGGGGTTTAAAAAAAAAAAAAAAAATTTTTAAAATTTTCCCCGGGGGGGAATTTAAAACCCTTCCCGGGAGGTGAAAAGGGGAGGGGGGAAAAAAGGGGAAAAATTGGGGGGAAAAAAAAAACCGGGGGGGGGGGGTTTTTGGGCCCCGGGGGGGAAAAAAAAAAACCCCCCCCGGGGGGAAAACCCCGGGGGCCCCCCGGCGGTTTTTTCCCTTTTTGTTTTTTTAAAAAAAAAAAAATTTTTTTTTCCCCCCCCCAAAAAAAAAATTTTTTTTTGGGGGGGGGTTTTTTGGGGGAAAAAGGTTTCCCCCCCAAAATTTTTTTTCCTTTTCCCAATTTTTTCCCCTTTTTAAAGAAAAAAAAAAAAAAACCCCTTTTTTTTGGGAAAACCCCCCCCCCCCCCGGGGGGCCCAAAAATTTTCCTTAAGGGGTTTTTTTTTTTCCCTCCCCCCCCCAAAATTTTTTTTTTTGGGGCTTCCCCCCAAAAAAATTTAAAATTTTTTTTTTCCCCCCCCCCCTTTGGGGAAAAAATTTTAAAAATTTTAATTTTTAAAAAAAATTTAAAAAAATTTTAAAAATTTTTAAAAAAAAAATTTTTTTTAAAAAAAAGGGGGGGGGGAAAAAAAAAAATTTGGGGTTTTTTAAAAAAAAAGGAAAAAAATTGGGGGGGGTTTTTTTTTTGGGGGGGGTTTTTTTTTGGGGGGGGAAGGAGGAAACTTAAAAAAAAAAAAAAAGGGGGGAAATTAACCCTTTAAATTGGGGGGGGGTTTTTTTTTTTTAAAAAATTTTTTTTTTAAAAAAGGTTTTGGGGTTTTTGGGGGAAAATTTTTTTTTTAAAAAAAAAAAATTTTAAAAACCTTTTTTTAAAAAAAATTTTTTTTCCCCCTTTAGGAAAAAAAAAAATTTCCCCCAAAAAATTTTTTTTAAAAAAATTTTAAAAAAAAACCCCCAAAAAAAAAAAAAAAAAACCCCCCAAAAAATTTTTCCCCCCCCCTTTTTTAAAAACCCCCCTTTAAAAAAAAAACCCCCCCCCCCCCTTTTTTTTTTTTCCCCCAAAAAAAATTTAAAATTTTTGGGGTTTTTTTTTTTTTTTGGGGGGGGGGGGTTTTTTTTTTTAAAAAAAAATTTTTTTTTAAAAAAATTTTTTTTTTTTAAAAAATTTTTAAAAAAAAAAATTTTTTTTCCCCCTTTTTTTTAAAATTTCCCCCCCGGGGTAGGTTAAAACCCCCTTTTATTTTTTTTGGGAAAAAACCCCCCCCCCCCAAAAAAAAACCCCCCAAAAAAACCCCCTTTTTTCCCCCCCCTTTTAAAACCCAAAAAAAAACCCCCCTTTTAAACCCCGGGAAAAGGTTTAAAACCCCCCCAAAAAAAAATTTTTGGGGCCCCCCCCTTTTTTTTTGGGTTTTTTTAAAACCCTTTAAGGGGGGGAAAATTCCAAAAAAATTTTTTTTTTAAACCCCCCTTTTTTTCCCAAAAGGGGGGTTTTTTTAAACCTTTTTTAAGCGGGAAAAAAGGTTTTTTTCCCAAACCCTTTTTTTCCCCCCCCCCTTTTACTCAAAAAAAAAAACCCGGGGTTTTTTTCCCCCCCCCTTTTTTTGGGAAAAAACCTTTAAAAAGGGGCCGGGAAAAAAATTTTAACCCCCCCCAAAAAAACGGGGCCCTTAAAATTTTAAAAGGGGCCCAAAAAACCCCTGGGGTTTTTCCCCCCGGGGGGCCCCCTTTTTTTTGGCCCAAAAAATTTTTTAACCCCCCAAATTTTTTTTTTGGGGGGGTTTTTTTTTGGGGCCCCCAAACCCCCCCCCCCTTTTTTTTTTCCCTTTTTTTTTTTTGGGGTTTTTAAAAAAAAAGGGCCCTTTTAAGGTAATTTTTGGGGCCCCT